GACATTAACTCCAAGAAAATCACTGAATTTGTAAACTCCTCCCTCTAGTTAGTTTAATATTGATACTTGTTTAGATTAAATATTTCTTACCTGCTTTGGGAAGACTGACATTTCCATCCTTGCAGTAAGTGCTTTGGGTTTTTTCCACTTGCTTCCTTGCATTTTAAATAAGTTAGCTTGTTCCTCCATTTCCTAGGGTGTAGCCATTGCCATGTTGTTTGAGGAAGTCAGCCTGAATCAGACTCTCCTTGTTTTAGTACACCCTAGTTAGAGAATCTAAAATCACTAACTGCAAGTAATATGTAGATTCTACTTCTTTAATCTGAGTAGTTTTGTGTGTAATTTTACTTTGACAGGTTTTTCCTGAGTTAAACCCATTGTGAATGGAAAGCTCCAACTATTTCTTCGTTATTTAGGCAGGGTTAGTAGATATGCTGGGCTACTTATTCCCCTTTCCACTGTCACCCCCTTTAGCAGATAGCACTAAGCCATCACTTTCTTTTTTAGTGAGCCAGGTGTTAGAATCAGGAGCAGAGCTCCAGCCATCTGCTACATTTGGCCCACATCAGGTATCGCTAATTGTTGCATAGTTTTATATCCTATTTATAGCCACTTGTAACTTGACCAGGGACAAAAGAAATGTGTAGTGCCCCCCTCCTAGTTTTATTGAGGTATGATTAGCCAAAAAAATTGTATAAATTTAAGGTGTACAACTTGATAATTAATGTACTTATGTATAGTGAAAGTTACCACAGTTGAGTTTGTTAGCGCTTGTGTGTGTGTGTGTGTGTGTGTGTGTGTGTGTGTTGAGAGCATTTGAGATCTACTTAGCAAACTTTGGTCATATAATACAGTATTGTTAATTATAGTTACCATGCTGTACATTGAATTACCAGAACTTAGCCATCTGATAACAGAAGGCTTTTTTTATTTTATGAAAAAACAAATTGTCATATCCAAAAAATAAGAGAATAGTAATAGCTATTACACTGTTTATCTTCAAAATAGTTACTCAGTACAAGACATAAACCAAAATATTCTTACAAAAGAGAAACAAATAATAGCACAAACTTTCTTTTCAACGAATTAAGATAAACTATAAGTGGAGCAAATTAGCATATATATTGAAATATTTCTAAAACAGTGGAATAGGTAATTTGGGGCAGTATTTGAACTTCTCCCTACTTCCTGTTTATATCTTCTTTTTTGCACTCTGTGTGTGTGTGTGTGTGTGTGTGTGTGTGTGTGTGTGTGTGTTTCATAGAAGAGAAACCCTGGGAGTATTTGAGCTTGTAGTCTGACTTCACTTAATCTTATGTTCTCAGGTTGCACCATTTACCTACAAATGCCTCAAGTTTATCTCTCTATTGGTCTGTTGATGGACAAATGTGCTGTTTCCAATACTAGCAATTCTAAATTATGCTGCTAGAAACGTGGGTATGCATGTATCCCTATAATATGATGATTTTTAACCCTTTAGTGAGTATAGCTAGGAAGGGAATAGCTGGGTCATACAGAGTTTCTAATTCTAGTTTTGTTTTTTGTTTTTTTTTTTTTTTTGGTTTTTCTCCGGTACTGGGAACCGAACTCATGACCTTGCGCTTGCCAGGCAGGCGCTTTTGCCGCTGAGCTAAATCCCCAGCCCCTCTACTTCTAGTTTTTTGAGGAGTTACCACATAGAGTTCCATAGTGGTTGTACTAGTTTACATCCCCATCAGCAGTGTAGTAAAGTTCCTTTTTACCCATGTCCTTGCCAACATTTGTTACTAGATTTTTTTGATGATAACCGTTCCTTTTTAAGTAAGATGATACCTCAGTGTAGTCTTAATTTTCATTTCTTTGATGACGAGTGATAATGAGCATTTTTTCATGAATTTATTGGCCACTTCTGAGAAGCGTCTGTTCGCTTTGGTTACCCATGTTTTGATTGGGTATTTTATTTGGGAGGGGGTCTAATTTTCTTGAGTTCTTTTTATATTCTTTTTATTAGTCCTCTGTCCATGGAATAGCTGGCAAAATTTTTTTTACTTTGCTGTTTTCTTTGGCTTGTAGAAGCTTTTTAATTTGATATGATCCCGTTTATTGATTCTCAGTATTATTTCTTATGCCATTGGGGTTCTGTTCAGAAAGTCTTTGCCTACACTTATGTCTTTAAGAGTTGTACCTATTTTATTTCTAGCAGATTAAGTAGTTCTGTTTTAATATTTAGGGCTTTGATCCATTTTGATTTTAGTTTAGTACATGGTAAGATATATGGGTATAGACTCAGTCTTCTGAATGTGGATATCCAATTTTTCTAGCAACATTTATTAACGTCTGTCTTTCCTCCAGTGAATGTTTTTAGTTCCTTTGTCAAAGCTTAAATAGGTGCTGGGGATGTAGCTCAGTGGCATAAGCACCTGCCTGGCAAGCGCAAGGTCCTGAGTTTGATTTCTGGTACCAAAAAAAAAAAAAATTAAATAGCCGTGTGTATCTGGGGTTGTTTCTTCTTCTGCTCTGTTCCATTTATTTACATGTCTGCTTTTGTGCCCGTACCAGGCTGTTTTAATTCTGTAGCTTTATAGTATAACTTCATGTCTGAGATTGTGATGTCATCTCCTTTGCTTTTGTTACCCGGGATTGCTTTTGCTATTCTAGGTCTCTTCTGATTCCATATAAATTTTAGGGTTGTTTTCTCTAGCTCTGTGAGAAATGATGTTGCTATTTTGATTGGTATTACATTAAATGTGTATATGAGTTTTGAAAGTATAGCCATTTTTGATTATGTTGGTTCTGCCTATCTAGGAATAGGTGTTATGTTTTCATTTTCTGGTGTCTTCTTTGATTTCCTTTTTCAGTCTGATGCAATTTTCACTGTAGACGTCTTTCACTTCCTTAATTAATACCTAAGTATTTAATGTTTTTATGGTATTGTGAATAGTATAACTGAAAACCCTTGTCTTTTGGTCAGCCTCTTCTTCCCCTACTCCTGACATCTACCATTCTATTTTCTTTCTATGATTTTAACTTTTTTAGGTTCCATATTCAAGTGAGATCTTGCTGTATTTATCTTTCTGTTTGGCTATTTTCACTTAGCAAAGATTAATCCATGTTCTCACAAATGGCAGGATTTCCTTTTTATGGCTGAATAATATTCTTGTATATATATGTGTGTAGTACTCTTCTCCATCTCTGTGCCCATTTTCTTTATCCATCCATCAGCTCGTTAACTGACAGATACAGTAGTTAAGCTGTTCACATGTTTTGCTTCTGCTTTCATTTCCTTTGGGTATATATCCAGAAGAAGAATTGATGGATAATATGGAAGTTCTGACTTGACCTGAGTTGAGTTGAGTTAGGGCCTTGTTATTTTTTTAATTTTTGAAGAACCTCCAAACTTTGCCATGGTGGCTGTACTGTTTACTTTCCTACCAGTGATATACCTTTTCAACATCTTGGCCAACATTTATCTTTTGTGGGTCATTTTGTTTTTATGATACTGAAAATTAAGTCCAGGGCCATGTGCATCTCCAACCCTTCTGATACTTTATTTTTTGCAGTACTGGGGATTGAACCCTGGGCTTTCACACAGAGCCACATACCCAGCACATTTTTTATTTTGAGACAAGGTCTCATTAAGTAACCCAGGCTGGGTTCGAACTTGTGATCTTTTTTTTGCCTTAGATTCCCAGAGTTCTGGGATTACAAATATGTACCACTGTACCTGTTCTTTTTATTTTTTATTTTGAGATAAGATCTTTCTAAATTGCCCAGGCTGGCTTCAAACTTGCATTTCTCCTGTGGTAGCCTTCTGAGTAGCTGGGCTTATAGGTCCCCCCGCTACTACATGGCTGTCTTGTGTGTTTTGTTTTGTTTTTTGAGACAGAGTCTCACTGTGTAGTTCAGGGTAGCCTTGAACTCATTGTGTAATTGAGGCTAGCCTCAAACTTGCAGCAATCCTCCAGACTCTACCTCGAAAGCTGGGATTACAGGCATGGGCCACCTTTGATGACAGCCGTCGTAACAAATGTGTGGTAGTAGCTCACTGTGGTTTTGAGTTTTATATCCCTGATGATTAGTGATATTGAGTACTTTTATGTACCTGTTGGCCACTTATACACAGCAGGTTCTTATAACTATCAGATTATTGTTTATAAAACATACCAATAGCTCTTACTGAGAAGCAGATTGTCTGGTAGAGAATTCTACCATAACTCTCTCGGGGGGATATCAGTCTCAGTGCTTCTGTGGAAAGCTTTTAACCTAAAGGTGCCTGTTTTCTCATATGCTTGTTTATTCCTTCATTTAAAGTATGTTTTTGGCTGGGTATGGTGGCACATGCCTGTAATCCCAACACTTGGGAGGCTGAGGCAGGAGGATTATTGTGAGGCCAGTCTGGGCTATATAGTGAGTTCAAGGCCAGCCTGAACTACATAGTAAGACCCTGTCTCAAAAAGCAAACAAACAAACACAAACAAAATGTTTTTGAAGATTTTAATGTTAGGATACAGGCCAGATATAAATAAGACAGCCCAGGCATAAGGAACTGAAAGTCTGCAGAAAGTCTGATAAACAGGATAGTAGATGAAACATATTGAGTGAGATGGGAAGAAAGAGTGGTTAAGAGGGGGAGGGAGGGGCTGGGGAGTTAGCTCAGCAGAACAGTGCCTGCCTGGTAAA